TATTTATACGACTATTAGCTTTATAGTTACTTTTTAAAATACTGAACAGCTTCCTGCAATGGAAAAATGTCCAGGAATTAGAGGTGTAGTATTTACATGCGACTGAATGTAATCCAGGTGCAATGCAGTTAAATATACCAATAATACATTAAGGTGAAACTTATAGTAATAAAGGAAGCACAAGGATTCATCATTTTATGGACTTTATTCGTTTCCCCTCTGAATCAAATGCATCTTCTTATAATCAAAAAGTAAAACACACCATGTATTGTCCAACTCAAGTCTGCTTCGTCTCTTCAATGCATTTTGTTCATTTTAATATACAAAATAAGAATGGCAGCTATTTTTTCTTTGCAGTAATTTTATTGTACAGTGGGTCTTCTTTTTCCATTTTAACTCCTCCGACGAAAGTGTGACTCTTCCGGCTCTGCTCTGTTCCACCCGGAGCTCGCTTTACTTCTTCACGACCTGGATGACGTCCTCGTGCTCCATGATGTGCGTAAGGCCGACCCTTTGGGGGCTGTACTTGGTGCTGGTTCCCTGGAAGACCAACAGACGACTCGGTTCAGACCCTTCCTGTCTGTCTGTTTGGGTTTCTAATGCGGTGAATCTCTACACAGTGAACAAGAGATCCTCTGCATCCGCTCCACCCTGCGTCTCATGTATCATGACACCGTAAACACAGCTGAAGCTCTGAGGGTGGTTTTAATTTAGAGAGTCAATTGAGCGAGCACTGAATATAGAATATAGAGAATATTACGGTCAGTGTTTCTTTCCATCAAGAGCTGCAGCTGTGTTTACTGTAGTATTGATGGGAGCATGGACATTTAATGAAGCTGAAGAACAATGACTTTGCTTACAGTCAGTGTTCATACACCGTGTCCCAGTTTCATACAATAAACAATATCAATACATTCTGTACTATTTATATTTCAAGTTGCATACATTTCCATTTCTGTTGCACAACCCATTGTGGGATAAAAGCAACATCAATGGTACACTAAAGCATCTTGATATGTTGAATTGTATGCTTCCACAAAGGTGTAATTAATTTAGTAATTAACTGGAATTACAGTTTATCGTATCTGCCACACAACTAAAGACAAGCAAAGACATTCACGGGCAAAATCTGTGACTGTCATAACTACCTAGCTGAACTTCTAATGATCTGAATTTTGTGTTGGGACACCCTTGAAAACTCATATCTCATTTGTTCACCACCTTTATGCAAACTAGAGATCATATTAACATTTTACAGCAACAATCAAACCCATGAACCACTGTGTAGTGCTGATTTTTTGGTCAAAATAATTGTGATTGTTTTTTTGTTTTTTTAACAGAAACAACAGAGTTGTGAGCTCAAAGCTGCATGAGCTTTGTGTACCGTTACACCTCGAGGAGAAAGGCACCATTGAAAGGTACACCGGTCACTGTATGTCTAATGCAAATTATCCAACAAAGATCTTGTATTTATTCTACTCACTGGGTCAACATGAGGGAGCTTGTTCAGACAGTTTACGGGACAAGAGGCTAATGAGTTGCTGAAAACTTGAACTTACCCAAACCAGGGCGTATTTGAACTGTCCGACTAAGGTTCTGTGGATTCGATGGCACTGTGGGGGAGAAAGCAAAGCAACATCACATCACACACAGCGCGATCTGCTGACCGTCATGTTATTATTTATGTACAGATGTTGGACATCTTGACTCTACATGTGTGACTTCATGTGCGTTTTACGTACCACATGTTCTACAGATGCTGCTCTTCTCATAATGATGGCATCACTAAAGTCTGGGCGCTCTAATGGAAAAAGAAGAAAGGAACAACAAACGTAATATATATTCGGTGTACATGTGATTGCGACAGTCCAACAATGAGAGAAAACGTGCGTGTACCTCCTCTTTTCTTAGTGTAAATGCAAATCAGAGCCAGGTATTCCCACAACGTCTCTAGAAGGTAGTCCAGGTTCAACTTCATCCCACAACTGAAATATACACGAGGACAGAAACGGAGAAAGCTGTTTAACTCCCACATACCTACATAGATATTTACATAGATAGATATTAAAAGAGTGAGATGGCAGCTTCCAACCAAGACGACTGTTAGTCACGCACGCACGCACGCGCACACGCACACACACACACACATCTGACCTGATGACAACACTGTTAGGTTGGTGAGCCAGGCGGTCCACCTCCTCGATGGAGATTTGATCCACCTTATTGTACACCTGTGAATATCAAAATTAATATGAGGGAAAAAAGAAAAGAGACCCTAAACAAACGTACACAAGCTAAAAGCTCGGCAGATTTGCCAAAACCTCGTAACTCCAAATACATTTTACAAACAAAATAGTTTCTATGGGTTGAAAATGTTCAGAAAAACATCTTGGGACTTGGAATTTGAAACATTTAAAATGTTAGACCCGGATGATGGTTACTGACTTACATAAAGGCAAGGCATGTATACTCTGTTCCCCACGATGACGTCGATGAACTCGTCTGGTGTGCTGTCCTCCCTGAAGAGGACTTCTGCATTAAAGATTTCTGAGGAGAAGGGGTTAAAGAAATCAAGCGTATTCTCCTGAGACTTATTAAGTTCATAGAAATGATCTTTTCCTCTGCGAGCTGCCTCCTCTGGTGCTTGAGAAGTGAAGGATACTGTATTCATGGAGGATGAGCTGAACCAGCTTCTCTGAGCACTGGGTGAGAGGAACTGTGGAGTTGTAGGAGAGGCCGCCACCTTTCTTGGGCTAAAGAGAGATTAATCACACATTTGTACACAGTTTAGCATTACAAATCGAGTATTCATGTCTGAAGCTGACAAGCTAGCATGGACAGGACATTTGTTTAGGCTCTGCTAGCAGCAAGGCCCATTAATGCCAAAGCAAGGTACCGTGACAACCATTTGGGACTTCAAGCGGTCGATTTACTCATTTTTATCTACCATTAACGCCAATCAGTTCTTTTCCTAAATCCACATTTTAGCCACAACACAAGAGCCATGTCTCTTTGAATTCGGCTGTTGGTATTGATGGTCCACTCAGGAGGATGATAGAAAATGTACCTTGAAATATATATTAGGTTTCGACCTGTTGAGTCTGATGCCCACCGACTCCAACTCTTTCTCTAGAAGTTCTCTAGAAAGATGAAAAGGAAATTTAAGGGAAGAATTAGTTGATGAAATAACTCACCAGCCTCTCAAATTCCCTTCAACAGACCGTCTCGCACACACACACACGCACACAAACAGTGGGCGTCACACACCTCTGAACTTCTCCTTTAGTGGCGTCCAACATCATGATGACGACGTCTGCCGTCCTGGCTACAGCAATGACCTGCCGGCCTCGACCCTTACCTGTGAACGGTCACAGAGTCAGTGTTTTACAATCACTTTAAAGACTTTTCTCATTATTGTGAGCGGCAGCATCTAAACTATGAACTGAAAGAACCGTTACTCTGAAATCCCACACGTTATCATTCATTAATACTGATACAATAGACTACAGCGTCTGCTCACTTTGGGTTTAAGTAAACAAAACATCTCAGCGTACCTTGGGCAGCACCCTCAATGATTCCTGGCAGATCCAGCAACTGGATGTTGGCCCCTTTGTACTGAAGAGCAACAAACAACAGCGTAAACAGCACTTCTTTCTTTTTAACGATGTTTAGGACATGCCGTGGCTGCGATTGTGTTTACCTCTATGACACCAGGTATGCAGGTGAGAGTGGTGAACTCATAGGAAGCAGCTTCACTGGCTGTCGATGTCATCAAACTAAGGAAGGTGGACTGCAGGACACAACAGAGGATTCAATTACACCCGGACACGTTGAATCTTTGGATTATGTTTCACTCCTCTTTCTGGTGCTTTTCAACGTTGGCTCGGTTCAACCATCTTACTATTTCTTTGTTTGTATTTGAGATATGGTGCAGCAGGATTAGGGGAACTTTCCAGATCCAGACAAGAGAAAACAGTCCATTACCCGAAGTGTTGACGTACCTTACCCACAGAGGGGAAACCGATAAGAGCAACACGAGCATCTCCTGATTTCATGACATCGAAGCCCTCGCCTTTGGCCCCCGTTGTCTTGGGCTCCAGGAGCTGAGCTCTGTATTTGGCTAGCTTGGCCTTCAGCAAACCCAGATGGTACTCAGTGGCTGGAGAAATCAATGAGAGAAAAATAAATTGTGACACAAGATGCTTTAAAAGTAGGAGTCTGACACCACAATAATAATGCAGGTGAGAGGTGGAAAAAGGTAGCTATAACATTGTAATACCAGCACAACAACCACACTGGAGCTTAGTTTGATTCATTTGAATGTATTAGCTGTTACTTGGAGATAACGTGTTTTTTGGGGGATTGTTCCTTTAGGTGTGTGGTTGCTGTAATCAAGCTTACGGTGTCGATTAGCACGCTTGTCCTTGGATTTCTGTGAGATTAATGAGTAACACAACACCGACAGCTGACACACACACACACACAAAGAGTCAGACAAGAGATGGCCACAAGTTCGCCCATGGGTTAGCCAACAGTTAGCCTAGCGGCTGCCCTCTCTTACCTTTGTTTTTCTGTGTCCGAGCGATTTCTCGCTCTATCTCCGCGATTTTCTCCAAGATCCCCATTGTGGCGGTGCAGGTGTTCCTGTTACACCGTTAACGTTACACTGCCGAGGAGAGAAAATAACAGAACGCAGAAACGTGTCACTCCACAGTTGTTAGCTTTGTTAGCCACCAGGCTAACAAGTGGGAACATAACAGTCAACAAACCGGAATAAAAACTATGATTCGACACAACTAGCTTTAAATGAATATTTACATAAAACACGTGCAATGACAAATTTGTAAAATGTTGTAATATAATATAATTTTACACTTTGGCAGAAGCTTCACTCAGCGGCATGCACAGTTAACTGACATCACAAACCGGAAGTCGTTCCGTCCCCATAAACGGTCCGCAAGAAACACGGAAACGCACGGTAACGCAAATGTTGTCCCATGTATCGTTATCGCTCACATCAGTCGGTAAGTGTGCAGCACGACGACGAAGCTGTCCTCCCGGTGGACTCAAAATATTTAAAAAAAAAAAGCGATAATGTGCCAAGTCAGATGTAGCTGCATTTGAACAGCCGGGCATTCCCGATGATGTATCGATCAGTCGTTCCTAGTTATTAGGTAATATAGACAGCGAACATGGCTGCGCCCACAGGACCGACAGGATCTTCAACCTCCAACCCGCCCGGGTTTGAAGGTTTTCCGTTTGCCGTGGCAGTCAAACCACCGCAGGACGGCTCCGGTAAAGAGCCGGAGCAGACAGGGGATGTGAAAAAGAAGCCATGCAGAGCTTGTACGGACTTTAAATCCTGGATGAAGATCCATAAGAAACAGACGACAGCTGCTGTACAGGTAACAAGAGGTCAAGACGGGGTTTTTAGACGATCCGTAGAAATATTACTATTACAGTTGAGATTTTTTATAGGGTAATATGTTTTAATTGTCAATGTGCCAGAGTTTTCTCCTTCGAGCTTTTGTAAACTTGTTGTCATGACGCAATGTCACATGGTGGTTGGGTTTCATCCTATAACAGAAGCTCTCTCCACATCTGATCCAAAGCTTTTCATATCAATTAAGTTATTTGATCCTGATCTCCACGAGACAAATAGTCTTCTCTGGCTGTGGTGAAGAACCTGCCTGTAGGACAGGATATGTATGATAAGTTATTCATGTGAAACCACAAATCAGCATAAACCACACACTGCACTTGGCTTCCTTTTTTAAAATACCACTTTGACTCTCCAGGAGACCCGAGCTGCAGAGTCAGAGCCACAAGACCCACAATGTCCATTGGACAGGGAGGAGTTGGGGCGTAACACCTGGTCCTTCCTGCACACCATGGCAGCGTATTACCCCGATAGACCATCTTCTACCCAGCAGCAAGAGATGGGGCAGTTCATCAACCTTTTCTCCAAGTTCTTCCCATGTGATGAATGTGCAGAAGACCTCAGGGGCAGGTCAGACTACACTGATCCTTTAGATTTAATATGAAGGCATCTTAACTGCTTGTTTGTGGGTTTAGTGGAAGCAAAGGGATCTGCAGCTTTCACATTTCAAGGTGTTGTTAGACAAGAGCAGGCTGTTTTTAAATGCACCATTTCCTCTCTGCAGATTGAAAACCAATCAGCCGGACACCAGGAGTCGCCATGCTCTCTCTCAGTGGCTCTGTCTTATCCACAATGACATTAACGTCCGGCTGGGCAAGTCCGAGTTCGACTGCTCCCGTGTCGATGAGAGGTGGAGAGATGGATGGAAAGATGGCTCCTGTGACTGATGAGGTGTGAGGACCGAGCTCAGACATGAGAGGAAACAACTTTGAGTGGGAACACCACAAAGTGGAGCTCACAACTCTGTTGTGGAGGAAGTTAACGTGAAGAGAGAGAGACTATGGTGTGCACTTCAAATTCTTCTTCTATGGTCAGTTAATAAAACTGATCCGATAATAAAATGAAAGATACAAAACAAATAGGTATCCCTCTTTGATTTTCAGGCTAGAACCAAACCGGTTTAGTTTCACTGAACTTGTTAATTCCGGTTGTTGGGGAGTTTTAAAAGTTTGCGATACAAACTTGATATTTAAATTTTACATTCAATCTTGTGTTTGTTGACCAATATAGCCGTGATTTATCTGTTGAAGCAGTAAGTTAGTTACAATCAGCCCATTCAAATGTTGTTTCCTGTTCTGAAGTCTTATTTCACCCTGAAGGTTAAGGTTCAAATCTCATTTTGTCAGCAATTCATTAGAAATATCCCAAATTAATTCATTTTTAATGTCCTATGTATATGATGGACATGATGATTACAGAATGGTTTTTCATTGAATATTTGTATAGTTACTCACTTTGTCTTTTGTGATTATGTTCACTTATTTGCATAATTTAGTGCTGGAATTAGTAATTATGTAATTTGCTATTTACAACCATGATTATTGATAATTTAAGTCATTAAATTAAGTTAAAAACAAACTATGTTGTGTTGATTATAGCTTCTCAAAAGTGATCATTTACTTGTGTTTCTCTTATTCATGTCTGGCACTGTAAATTGATTTTTGGCTGTTGGGCCAAATAAACACTTTGGAAGAGATGCTTCAGGTTCGGTAAGATGTCATTTTGACTTTCAGTAGAATAAACAATTCATAAAAGTAGATAACGTATTATATGGATGATTAAAACACCTGTTGGTTGCACCACGTGAAGCCTTTTCTCCTTTAGTCAAGAGCCTGTGAAGCCAGCATCTCAGCCATGTGACCTGTCTGTTATTAATAAACACTGATTATGAATTTATTTGAGGAACCAGTAGAGGACACAACCACACGAGTCTAATGCTCAGCTGCTACTGTTTGTTTTTACTGTGTTTGTTCCACATACTAACACAACCAGTATTCATCCTCAACTCTGGTATGAATTGCTTCTTTTAACATTACTGTTGAGATATTGAATTTTGAAGTAGACTTCACTGACCTCTAGTGGTGTGAGCCATGTATGATAGGCATGACATTGTATTTCACAGAAGCTTCAGTTTGCCATTTTCATAACACGTGATATTAGTGGTGAAAATGACACTGAGTTTTCACAAGACCAGGACTACTGTATTTTATTGTCTGAAGCTGCTTTGGGCTCAATGATCATCACTGATCAACAAATATCCCATGACGAGCAACTTGTGACTACGTTATTGTGGTATTTGGCATCATGAGACTTGTCTCAATGACATATTTCATAACCTAGCAATGTGTGTATGGCTAATGAGGGATTCAGGCAGGATTTTTCCTCTCTTTTTATACTCACCATAGTGCTTGTAGCCTGCAGTCCTCGTGGCCTTTGTGCCTCATATTTAGAAGGAGTCCATCTTCTGTTTTAGCGCCAGGCCTGCGTCTGCAATTGTGGACAAAGAAGTCACGCTCTGTGGTACGTTTCTTACCTGGAAATTTAAGGATTTAGAAATCTGAGGGGAGTTTACATTCCATAGTTTAAAAGTATAATTTGGTGGATATACTTAAAGGCACTACAGACCCACACAGGTGTTGTCATAGCCGGATCAGCTGACTTGAGGGGCTCTGGTGTCTGGTTTGGTCTAACATTATTTTATTTAAATGTAGGCTAATTTGACAGAAGGCTCCTCTTGAAGACAACACAATTTATTCTATTCTATTTACATTCTATATTAAAATGATAATATTAAAATCTGTGCAAAAACTCCACTCACGGCGTCCTCCTCTGTGCGCGCGCGCCTGTGCGCGTGCGCGCAGGACCAGTCCCCACAGCAGCGAGCAGCAGCGCATCCATCCTGCCGTGGAGCCGGGAGCGTGGAGCCGCGAGGAGCGCACAGAGAGAGAGACAGAGAGACAGAAGATGGACGGAGTGGGATCGTTCGGAGCGGGCCGGTCCGGGTCCACTATCGACCCGCTTACCTTCGCCAAACAGCCGCAGACCATCCTCAGAGTGCTTTCCTGGGTGAGAGCAGGGGTCTTTTTTTTTTCTCCAGGCACTGCTGTTCGTGTGTGTGTGTGTGTGTGTGTGTGTGGGGGGGGGGGGGCTCTGTGTTGTCGTGGCTGCGCGAGACCCGTGACGTGTTCTCACTGCAAATACAGACCCCAGAAATCCAGCGATAATTGATAAGCAGGGTGTGTAAACGGAAACCAAGGAACGAGTGTTTATACCAGAGTCTTTATAGAAATGCAGCGTACAGGGTGTAACCAAGGCCTGCTGGCTGTCTGACACCCTGACCATGAAACTGATTAATACAGATGTTTGTTGTGGGTTTTTCTTTTCCGAGCACAAACCGACGTATTCTCTTTTTTCCTCTAAATCTCGACAGTCATTTCTCTATAAATAAGATGTGCAGCAGACCGGACCGGATTGTGTAGAAAGACGAGACCTTTTCATTCTTCCTGCTTCCTGTTGTTCATATCTTACACAAAACATTATTTACTATGTGCCCACACATCTTAAGTTGTTTTTTTGCGTCGCCAATTATGTTTTCAGCTCATGATTTTTGCCCATTTCTTTGCCCCTAAACGGTCGTCGTCCGTCACCCCACCTTGTGATTGGTCCGCGGTCATCATTACGCACGCAGGGCCACGGAGGCGCGTGGTGCGCTGACGGTTGATGTAACGCATCTTTGGCTGACACAGAGAAGGTCTTCTCTACCGGTGCAGGGGGAGATCTCTGAAACACACCGAGGAGGAGACACCTGTTACAGAGCGTGAGATGTGTGCCAATATCTTTTATTTTAGTCCTAATGAGTCTCGGGTGTCTGATTATTCCAGTGCAGCTTCCGCATGATGTCCTACTGAGCCCGTTGGACACGTCGTTAGCTTACTACAAAGAACACATCCAGCTTAGCCTCGATCAGTCGTGTTTTAAACTGTTTGAGCTGATGTGCTTTAAAGTTTAATTGTCCATTGTGTTGCTTGTTGGTGTATTTTTGTAGCTGAAAGCCTTCAAAGTGTCATATAATAATCAGATATCACATATTAGAAGTAACATTACTCAGATCCTTTACTTGAGTGAAGGTACAACATGTACTTTTATCAGAAGTACCTTTTAAAAGGAGAACCACCATAGTTCTTTAAACACGCTTGGCACACGGAAGAAGTTTCAGTTGTTTGCAATCTGCAGCCTCGCTGCTAGATGTCGGCAAATCCTACACACAGAAAAAATGTCCCGTTACTGAAGTATTAATATGTATAAAATTATTACATCGTTAATTCTGACACAATACATAAGGGCCATTTTACTGTTAAAGCTGGTCGAGATTGAGACTTTTTAAAAAACTACTTTATATATATTTAGGCAGTTTAATCCAGTGGTTGGGGTCAGAAGTTTAAAAATGCATACAATTTAAATACTGAAGTAAAGTACGTGTACAATTATCTTACTTAAATGTACTCGGTGACTTCCAACCACCGACTACAACGATGCTGCTGCTCTCTGAAGCTTTACAAGGAAATCAAAGTGTAAAGCAGATGAAGTACAGGGAAAGTAAACGAAACAAGTCAATTACAGATGTGGAAAATGACTCTTGTATCGCACCGATTATGACAAACTGATAAGATATCCCAATGTAAAAATAGACAAATGGAAGTAGAATTTATTCCTTTAACTGGCCTTAGAAATGTCACACACACACCATGCAATCATATTTTTAAAAAAGTAAAAAAGTTTTTTCTTTCCATTTGGAGATGCAGCGCTTCTATGCATGAGCAGCTTCATCATTGTGATTCAATAAAAGCACCTGAGCGTGAATCTGCTCAGATTATATCCACACATGTGATTGGTTTTAAAGTGTGGTTATTATCCCATTGTCCACCATCATATGACCCACACCTCCGAGTGTGAGTGCCCATGTGTGTGTGTGTGTGAGTCACATGGCCCTATTCTGCCACCCAGAGTTAGTCAGCTGATCAGTGTGCAAGTCCAGACAGAGGTAGGAAGCAAAACAGATCTACAGATTTGGACCTAAAGAAGAGTCTCATTCATAAAAACCAACGAGGGAACAAATGGTTTTATAGCATGAGTTATAGCGACGTTCCCGTTTTGGTGTACACACACACACACCGCCTCAGGACGATTCTTGATGGGAAGTGAAGCATCCACGTCTTCAGTCAGAGAGACAAAGACGGGAAATTAGGTTAATGCCTTTGGTCTGAGCGCGCTCAGAGAGACGCTGTGGAGGAAACAACCCTGTTTCCACTGAGAGGACAGAGATATGGGGAATGTTGAGGCAATCATTTCTGATCATAGTTTTCTCCTTACCCCATCTCCTCCTCCCCGTCTCTCACTTTCCTCCTTCACTTTCTTCCACTTCCTCCTCCTCCCCATCTTTCACTTTCTTCCTCCTCCTCCCCGTCTGTCACTTTCTTCCTCTCTTCTTCTTCTTCTTCTTCCTCTTCCTCCTCCTCCTCCTCCACAGATATTCTCCCTGGTGGTCTTTGCCTCCATCGTGAACGAGGGCTACGTGAACTTGGGCAGCGAGCGTCTCCACTGCGTCTTCAACAAGAATGCGGACGCGTGTAACTACGGTGTGTTCGTGGGCCTGGTGGGGCTGCTGGCCTGCTCCTTCTTCTTCATGCTCGACTACAAGTTCTCCTCCATCAGCTCCGTCAAGGACAGGAAGAAGGCGATAATGCTTGAGATCGGCTTCTCAGGTGAGGAGGACGATCCGTGTTTCAGTTGTGTTTACACACACACACACACACACACACAAACACAAATTGTTGACATACTATTGTAAATTTTCCCATTTTTAAATGACGTCTTATACTATTGCATTGGGTTTATTTCCAAACACCAAGACAAATTCCTTGCCTGTGCAAACGTACTCGGCAATAAACCGTTTCTGATTCCGTATTTATTTCTAATCGGCAGTATTCAAAAGGCAGGGATTCCCCAAAATGGAAAAAAAACAACAACTAGGCCAGATGCTTTGTTTCAGATGACTGCTTTCTTGCAACACAAGACAAAGAGAACTGGAACCTGTACACTTAAGAAGATGTTAGAGAAGCGAGAGTATCTTTCATCTCTAAAGGGAACAAAGAACTGCAGGTTATTGTGTTTCATGTTTAAAGTTGGAAACTACCTTTTCTCTTTCTGTCGTAACAAAGTGTTATTATTGCTCCACTGGTGTCTGGCAGGTTTCTGGACCTTCCTGTACTTTGTGAGTTTCTGCTTCCTGGCCAATCAGTGGTCTGAGACCACGGCCGACGAGCTGCCACTCAACCAGGGGGCGGACGCAGCCCGGGCTGCCATCGCCTTCTCCTTCTTCTCCATAATCACCTGGGTGAGAACAAGCAACAACAGAGGCACACACAGACAGACAGACACACAGACACACACACACACACACACACACACACACACGCAGTAATGGAAACATGGAAACTTTCTCTGCATAGTGCCTCAGTAGGCATTTAGTTGGGTTTGGGTTTGTTGCTAATGAGTGCAGACCAGCTTTTAACACACAGACGACTGACCGGTGCTCTCCTTCTCTGAAACATTAACATGAACCGTTCCTGAACCTGACAGAACAAATGTTTCCCCCCATTGTTCTTCTTTAAGGGTTGCAGAAAACACACAGCTGTTGAATCAATGCACAATATCACCTAAACTCTGCTCAGATTATGAGACAATAAGCTCCTGAGCACAGATGCAGGAAAGTCCCCCCCCCGACTATCTAAATGCAAAAAAAAACCCCACTCAATAGTTTTTACATTTTCAACCATGACTTCAAAGTGCTGATGTCGGTCTAAAACTGCACCTGAATGTCACGTTAGAGACAAAGAGAGTCTCTATAACTCCTCTCCTAGTGCTAAACAAAATACTATCTGACATTATATTCTAAAATATGTCAATTATCTTATATTGATCGGGAACTACACACTTTTAGAAGAGCAATCCGGAGTAATCCGTCTCCGATTACATTTAAGGCAAAAATAACTGGTCATGCATCTCCTGTATTGTGCTTAATGCGAGTTAAGAGACGTCGTCATTGTTGTAAACATTGTACGTTTTTAAAGGAATGGTTCTGCATTTTGGGAAATACCCTTATTCTCTCGTATCCGTCTATTAAATGTAAAGCTATTCACTCTATTCTTTGCATGAACTTTTCTAATCTCCCCCCCCTCCCCCCCTGTAGGCCGGTCTAACGGTGCGTGCGGTCCAGAAGTATCTGCTCGGCACAGACATGACTCTGTTCACCACGGAGCACATGGACGGCGGCGCGCCCACCCAGCCGTACCCCTCCAACTCACCAGTAGGCGGCACCACCACTGAGACCACAGAGACCTACCAGAGCCCGCCGTTCACCGAGAACAAAGCCGCGCCCACGTACCAGGTTCCCATTTACTAGATAAGATGGTGGACGAGGAAGGTTCGGGAGATGGATGAGAGGAAAGTGACAGAAAATTAGCTTTCTGTGATGTTACACCTGCAGTTGATTATGTGTTGATTATCTGGGCTGAGTAGGCCTCTCCTTCTTTGTTCCCTCGTCTCGTTCCCTTTCCTTCCTTAACATTCCAGCTTTTTCTGCACCTTTCTTGACCTGTATATTAAACTCAAATTCTTGCGTTCTCAAATCCAGTGTCCAGAAAATAAGAGGAGAAAATGTAGAAGAGAAGGCCATATTGTAGACACAATTCTGACCAAAAAAAATAAAAAAGTGAGCGACTCCACCACAAAGCAGTGTTAGGTAAAAGATAAAAGTGCAGAAGGCACTCACATACAGCACCGTCGTCTTATTCTTTCCATTCATTGAAGTGTCAAAATCCCCTTTCATGCCAAACGGAGAATGTTCGGGGAATGATATATATTTTTTAGCTACAGTACGGTCTGGTCCGTTAAAAGTGATCATGTGTGTTGAATCTGCATGTTTCCAAACTTAGAGATCAACTAAGTGCCATACTGTACTGTGTCTCAGACAGTGACTTAATTTTAGTAGGTTTCCACATGCTGTAAAAAAAAACAAAAAACAACAACAACAACAACAACCTTTTGTGACTAAGTGCAATATCTCACATTCTCATGTAGGTCTGTAGGTATATATACTGTACTGTCGGTAGGCTAGTTACGTCAGGTTACACCAATTTCAGGCACTGTCTCAAATTACATACTAGTCTTTGAATTGTACTAACAAATTAAAAAGTGTTTATCTGACTTTCATTGAGCTTCCCTGGTGAAGTTTGCTAGATATAGAAGTTATATATTAATCCAACAGATAGATCCTCCACAGAAGCTTGTTTCTAATTTAAATACAATTAGTATTGGTATTTATGGTCTTCCTTGATGTAATGTAAGAATTATTCTAAAGAAAAACTGTCACAATGCAAAATATATTATCACAATACCTGAATCTGTGTGATTCTGGGTCATTCTTGCACACGGGTTCGTTTCCCCAGGTTTATCAAAGATCCACAGGGAATCCTTTTTCAGTCTGTTATTTTTCTGTGCCAGGCATGGATGGATTATTGGAAGGGCCGATGGGGTCAGGGGCCCCCTCGACTCGAGCCTCCGTTTGAAGTGATTCTTTAAATTTCTTGTTGGAAAGTCAATCCAACGACTACAAGGAGTCACAAAGAGACACAGACAGCTGCAGAGAGATGCAAAAAAACCTTCAAAGTAACGCAAAACGACCACAAAACAACATTGAAGAGACTCAAAACAACTACAAAGAGACACAAAACGACCATAAAAAGACTGAAAACTACCACAAACAACCATGACAGACTGCAAAGATACACAAAAGACTGCAATGAGACACAAAGATGCAAAACTACAAAAAAAGATTCAAAATCACAGGAAAAGGACAAAAAACAACCACGACAAAATCAAAAGGACTACAAAAGATACACAAAACGATCATAAAGATTGTCAAAAAGACTATAAAGAGACAAAACGACTACAATGACACAAAAGAACTACAAAGTGACTCAAAACTATACCAAAAAGAGATTCAAAATAACTACAAAGAGACAAAATAACCCGAAAAACACTCAACCACCACCAAGAGGGTGGGTGCTCAGGGGCCCATAGTCCTATAATCCGTCCTTGGTACCAGGGAGTGTGTGTAGTATGTGACATGAGACAGTGTCCTGTGTTGGGTGTTGCGTGTGTAAAATAGGGTGAGAGGGGAGATTCTGGGTAAGTCAGGTCTGTTTATGTTTACGTTTTAGAAGCTGCCAAACTGCCCTGTGTTCTTACAGTTGTCTTCTGATCACCACATTACTACTATGTTGTTACTGTCTGAAGGGGGGGGGGGCAACAGATGAGCTCTTATTCAGTGAGGAAGGTCGGAGAGTCGTCTGAATTTTGGGGACAGGTTTGGGTGGATGTTGGTCACTAAGGGCCCAGATGTAGATAGTTATCATGCCAACCATGTCGGTGTGCAGCAGTGTCTGTGTCGTGGTTCACGTACACTCGCCATCAGTGAAACTGTAGTTTTGGTGTGTGTGTGTGTGTGTGTCCACGTGCAACAGGTGTACGTGTATTAGCATGGGAGACGTGTGGGGGGGCGTGTGTGAAAATGTGTGAATCCGTGTAGTTAATTACATTTTGTGGTGCAGAAGTTATTCTTGAACACGTGTTTTAGTGCAGAGGAGGGAATCATAAGTCTGTCACACCCTTTAATCATATCCCCCAAAATGCTAAATATTTTATCAGTGTCACCGTCAAGATGTATGAATTACAAAGTACGGAACTAAGAGTTTGTTTTGATGAAGAGAGCCAAATATAAAACTTCATATTAGTGATAATATTGACCCGTAGAACGCTTTGCCTGCTATTCTGATCGGTCCTTTGTAGACAGCGCCCTCTGTCGACCGGAGACGGTACTGCAGCACCGGGACCAGAGTTTTAAAAGTGATCATGATAATAATGCATGAAATTGTTGTATAGATCTCATTATATATTGAATACTATGTAATTCTTAAGTTGACAAGTTGTTTTTTTTTTTGCAAAATGAGATTGGCCAGCTGTCTGGATATATTCCTGTGTTTTATTAATCGCAGTTCATTGTCAGAACTTTGGCCGCACGCCCGAACAACTCTTTGTTTATTCAGTGACGTCACCTCAACCTCGAGTCGGTCACACGTACACATGCGCTTGTGTGTGTGTGTGTATCTTAAAGCTCCAGGGTGAAACTCTCTGCACCCAGAAACACAAATATAAACTGGAGTGAGTGAGGTAGTCGGGTGCAGCACACGCTCTGTATTCCAGCTCCTGTCTAGTATATACTCAGAGTAAAAAGGGTTATCTGCCGTCTAAAATCATAATTAATGAGGTTAATGACTCAGAGTAATAATGCAGATTCTGAATGCAGTCTTCAGGCAAATGGGTATTAAGCCAATGTGTTTGTTCTAGTTGGAGCATTAAAAGGATAAAGATCATTTTAAAGTCTTGTAAAACAAAGATAAGGTTTAAGATTTACCTTTGAGCATGACTTTTTTTTTACAAAAGCATTTTATTCACCAGACTGTCAGCGAGTGCATAGTTAAGTGAGTATACGTTATGAATTTAGGGATAACGCAGTAGTATTTCCTTTTAGGATCTTGGGATCAGGAAAGTTCCAGAAAACACTTTGTGGAGTATTCGGGGTTTCAGGACGGGTTGATTTTCCAAATACTTTCAGGTACTCTGGGTATTGTTTGGTACCGTTAAGTGTATTTGATGCAAGTTAAAGGACTTTGTGGTTTTCCATGTTGCGTGAACATCACTGCAAACTATTTCCTAAAGAAACCGGTTTTTAATCTTTAAAAACAAACATTTGTTTTGGTTCATTCGGAGGATTGAATATCAGCTTGTAGAGATTCCAGACATGAAATGTTCAAATTGACCTGACGCCACTCCACAACAGTGAACTGACACAACATTAAAGCATAAATAAATATGCCAAAATATGGAAAACAAATGCCAGTACAGTTCCTTAAATCTTGGGTATTACTGGGCTGCTAGTTACCCGTTAAAACTGGGTTATTGCTGGCGGTATTAGGAACAACTGGGGTACTATTGGGTAGTTTGGGGTACTGTCAGGTCAGGTTGTATTATCGTTCTCAGTGTTTCAGTCTCTTCTTCAGTCAGTGTGGTAGATAAAAATAAAAACACAAGCATTCTCTATGTTTTGTGCTCTGGCCCATGTACACTACCGTGGTATTGGTTGTAAAGTTCAGTACGTTATTGAAGTAAATGGAACCTGTGTGTGATGCTGTCTAGGGTCTGGTTTGTCCTGTACTACTGAAAATATAAAAATATTATTAATGTTTATTTATGAGCTAGAATGCACTCTGTTGGAAATACTTAGTTTGACCGCTCTCAAAGGGGCCGTTGGCGCCAAAATCAAAGTTTTATGTGATTTCATGCTGTTTTGTTAGACTGAGATTATAAAAGGTGACATGTAGTAACGCGGACGCCATCACTTGTGTGGTTTCCAGTATAATACATTGCATGGATGTTACAATATCACCCCCTATAATATTGATAATAAAAATGTGAAACCTCCCTCCTCATCGACCAACAATCAAGTAAACATTGATTTTTAGCGTGCTACCCCTTTAACGTGTTTCCTCTGAGTTGTTTCTTTATGGTCTGAAGGTGTTCGACCTCTTCAGTGTATAAACAATGTGTACAGAGATGTGTGTCACTGTCTATTACCTGAATGTCTCTGGACTGCAGTCTGACCGTCACTCGAATAAAAAAGAAAACATGTTTTGGACTGCCTGTTTCTGTCCCTGACTTCACTGCCTGGAGATTTGTGAAGATTATATTTAATGACAATGTGTGACATGACAGCGAGAAAGAGCTCCTTGGTCTTAGTGGTGAACCTTTAGAGAGTCATCACCTGCATCTACAGCTCCCCTCGGCTCATTGTTAAGCCGTCTGGCAACTTTACTGTTCTGGTTATCGATCACTGCATTGTGTTTGGCAGAAACAGGCGGCTGTTTTCATTGAAAAAGCACTAAAACAAGTCACTGTACAAGACCTGCTCAGCACCACATGTCAGACAGACAGTCAGCTGGTGAACAGAGCAGCTGGAGAGCCAGATACAGCTGGTAGAGTGAATATTGAACTTACATTCATCCGGTGGACAGAAAAACTACTAATGAATATGTTGCTCATTAATTGTTGAATGTGTAAAAAAAAAAAATAAGAAAATGTTTGCTTAAAGGTTTGCCATATCAACTTTAAAAGGTGAATATTGTGTAAGGTTATAGCTCGTTTAAAGGCCTGTTTTTATGGTCATGAATAGATGGTTACCCACAAGTTGCAAAAACAGAGTGAAAACTCGCTGACTACTATCTGAACTCTAACCATCTTGTGAGAGATTCGTAACTTGTGGGTTACCTTCTACACACAACCACATTTTCGAGCTCGCTGCGTCTAATACACAAAATAAACTCACAAAATGTCAATAAAATAAATATTGTTACACCTAAAGAGAAGAATACAACCTGAATTAAATAGCCTCGTTAACTCATCTTCAAACACACTTCATTTGAAACTCACCAAAACCGTCAGTCTGTCTTTCCAACAATCAGCAACTCTGGTTGGATCGAAGAGTGAGATGTGAAGATGTGCCGTCTGCCCCGCTGCAGCGGCTCTCACAAAACATGTCCAAACCGCCCTGCTGGTCCTCGTCGTCTCTTCCAGTTTATCTTCAGGATCCTGCAGAAGTTCTCCAGCACACATCTGTCCCAGTGAGGAGTAACACTTCTACGTTCCCTCTCTTTTCAAAACACTGTAAAAATATCCCACCATAACATCCTCTGCAAACACATATTTTGGGATGCCATTTTCACTGTTGGAAACATAACTAGTTTGCAATACAGGTGGGCAAAGTGGACATTGAAGTTTTTAAAGTATGATTTTGCCCCACAGCTGAAGAAGCACTCTGTAGTCGTTCTTCCTCTTCTCCAACGTCACTGGATAAAAAAAGAACTACAGGCTAATTTCACACTATACGCCGAACTTAGATAGAGGTAAGGTTGGAAATCTGGGAATTTTCCCTTTAAATTATATGAAATGTTAAACAACTGCAATTGGGATGGTCACTTAAAATAAATAAATGCATTACAGGTATTTGTGGACAGTCATAATCCAAGTTATTGGCTAAATATGTTACGAGTACCATGACAGAACCTTAAAGTAACAGACTGAAGGTCTGCTTTCCCCCAAATACACATTGAGCAATACACGACACAGTTTATAAACGTAACACAAAGCTGATTTTAAAGATGCAGTTTGTTTTATGTGAAATGCAGAAATTACAGGAACACACACACACACACACACACACACACGCACGCACACACACACCGATCACCCTCCAACTAACAGAGAACACATTCCCAGTTTGTCAAAGCTGGAATTCAAAGGGAGGCGGAGTGGAGAGCGTGTCGGGGAATGACGTTTTGTTCTGCTGCAAACATTATGGTAGCTGTATGAATTTCTTCATGATAACTCATTTTAACAAAATGTATACTTTAAAAAAAACCTGGAGACCTAAATAGAATATCTTCTGGTGACCTCAGTGGTTAATGTCTCATTGTACCACTGATCCTAAAAAAGTAGATTTGAACATAACTGAGAAAACATGCGAGGACCCTCGTTCATCGTTTAGTTCCGTGTAGTTTCCATTTGCAACGTCACTGGATAACAAGTCCATCACTCACAATGAACCACATTGGTGAGTGATGTAAACGGAACAAAAGAAAATGATGTACTACATTAAAAACTGTTCCAGCTCCTGAAGCAGCTTACTTCCCGTCACTCACTCACTCCAACACTCAACAGACCTTCCTCTGCATGAAGCGACGGACAATTAAAACAGCTACACTTAAATAAATATGGTGCTCTGTAGTTGAACTGATCATGTTTGTGTTTATTTAGTTATTTGAGCAAGCAGCCCCTCTGGGAAATCATACATACTTCATCAGCTTTGATGTTAACAAAATACATGTTGCCATCATTGTACTTGAGTGAAAACACAAAGCGAGGTAAAAAATATGTAGATCAATACAATTTTAAGGGAGCAAAGCGTTCAAGTAAAGCCTCGGCTCGTCTCTCCTCTTTCTTTAAATAAATCGACAGGTCCGGTTACACCTGTGTTGCCAGTGCCAGAGCCAGCTGGAGACGTCCTCAAAGGATGCAAGAAGTAGAGTTGAGACGGAGCACAAGCCTATCAACATGATCCCCTTAGAAAGCAAAAACAACGTAAGCCATCTTTTTTTCTTAAAAATCCAATTCATTATGAGCCCCAAACTCCGCTGGGACGTGGCTACTGTTTTCCACACTCGCTGCTGCAGGGGGCAACTGAACTAATACCCCACAATGGCATTTGGAGTAAAGGAAAAAAAAAAGAACGAAGGGCTAGCTGATGATACGGCTAATTGACTGCAACGAAGGGAACTCCTCGCTATCCCTGTTGTGCAGGGTCTTGTGGGAGTTGAAGTCTTTAGGGGCAAGTACCTGTCTGCAAGTGGGGCATACCTGGCAGTCCAGCTCAGCGGCCGCGTTGGCCATCGTGGTCGGAATCTGCCAGGCGTTCTTCTTGTTCTTGTTCTTCTTTCCTCCTCCGGCGCCCGACTGCTTCTCCAGCGCCCTGCAGTCTCCGTGGGCCGTCAGGAGCTCCTGCTGCTTGCCGGTGTCCGGCAGGAGCACCAGCAGCTCGTTAAAGATGCGGTTAAAGTCTTCTCCAAGCAGGTCCTTACAGCTGCTGTGGTACTGGACTGCTGATATCACACTCTGGGAACGAAGAAGAGGAGGAGGATGATGATGAGGAAGCTTTCAACACATCACCATATATATGGGGCCTGAGGACTGTGCTATTTAAATAATTCTTAGGATCATATTTTGTGGCGAGTACCTGTCTGAACTGTGCAGAGTAGTTTTTGAACTGGTTGAACGTTGACTCATCGTTGTGGAGGTACAGTCTAATGGACTGGATCAGCTCCAGGTTCCTCTGATTGAAGTCCTCTGGCACCAGGTAACCACTGCTCCACACCTTGGGGGGCCTGGGGCATAAAAATAATACAAATAAATAAAGTCAGCGTTGGCTTTGTGAGGTACAAACACGGACAAAACAAAAAAAGAGAGCATGCATTAAAAAGGGAGATTGTCTCACGGGTTGACTGCAGACGAAGCAGGCTCCACCACGTTGCTGTTGAGGGGGATCCCAGTGAATCCTGGTGGAGGTTTAGGGGCGGAGATTCCAAGGCCGGGCGGAGGTGGGGGCATGACGGAGGCCGGGGCCGGAGCTGAGGCCTTCAGTGGGAAAGAGGACTTGAAGCCTGAGAGATAAACGCAGTGTGAGTTACTAGTTTCTAGCACAACAACTGACCGTAACGTTCATGTGGAAGGTGATACGTCATAGTAACAAAATATAAAGCGGAGAAAAGAAAATGCTACAAGACAATAGATGAATATTGTGGATATTACGTACCTGGTGGTGGGTTCTTGGTCATGAGAGCAGGGAAGTCCTCCTCCTGATCAAGAGGGGGGTCGGGCATGGGATGAGGCGTTATCGGGACTGGCTCCTTACTGACGGGTGGTGACTTGTCAGGGTGGCCATTAGCCAATCCGCTCATCAGAGCCGCCGTCACGGCACTGGAGGGGGGTTTGTTCCAACTCTTCTCGGGGACGTTCTCCTTTTGTGCTGCCGTCTCCACTGAGATCGTATTTACAGTTTGTGTCGTCCCTGAAGACACAGACGTGGAGGGAACAGCCGTGTTCTTCTGCTGTTTTTTCTTCTTGCTGGCTTTAGAGGTAAAAGGATCAGGAATGGGGGTCGGGTTTGGAGCGTTGGAGGTCACAGTGGGGGGTTTGCTGTTGCCTCCTTTGACGGTGAGCAGAGAGGAGATGTCCAACATGGTGGGCACCGAGCGGAACTCCTGCTGCGTCAACCCTCCCTTATCGTCATCAACAGCAGGAGGTGGAGGAGACCGGGTAGATGTCGCCGTTTCGTTCTCCATTAACTTCTTTTTCCTCCGCAAAGATGAAGAGTTGGAGGAGGAGAGGAGCTGAGGGCCAGAGGACACAGACGGGAGAGGAGGGGAAGGTCTGGAGGACGGAGGAGGCTGAGTGTGGGGTTTAGCTACAGCGGTGTGGTTGGACCAAGCAGAGTTGGTGCCAGCTGAATGTTTGAGGGGCCGGATTTTGGACACGAGCGCGGGGAAATCTTCCTCCTGGAAAGAGGAAGACTTCTTAGGTTGTGCAGAGTAAGCCGGGGTCATGGGGGATGAAACAGCTACAGCTGAGAGGCTGGGGAAGTCGTCTTCCTTCAAAGCTGCGTGGACTGCTGTTACCGCCACAGGAGCTGGCTTTACACAGCTGCAGGGGACACAACAACAGAAATGTAACATTTCAGCAAACTTTGGTGTGAGTGGGGGATTTCAGTTTGTCGTGTTAAAAGTAAAACGTTACATGGGTGGGGCAGCTGTGGCTCCTAAAGCTGGGAAGTCATCTTCTCCATCCCCTGGATTAGAGCTCTTCATTGTTCTTACTGTTAAAGAGAAAACACGTCAGCACAGTGACAGTTAAGCTGCTGAGGATCTCTTACTGCAATCCCATGATGCAACAAGAGCATAGAAATAAAATACATTTTGTGTGAGGAGAATAATGCTTTTGCCCACCAGTGCTATGCACGTTTCTTTACAAACCCCGGTTATTAAATTCAGAAATCCCCAATTCCTCTCTAGCACCAAGGTAACGGTCGTACACAAAAGACGCCTCTCCATTCTTCATACTACTCCACTACAAAACCTCACCTCAGTGAGTCCACGACTGGGTTTAGTTTACACGGAATAATTATAGTGGCCGCCGCTCTGGCTGTCCTGCTACATTGATTTGAAGTGTCTGTTCTACTTCCATTTCACTTCTATGAATAAGACTATTTGGGGGACAGCTGTGTAACGAAACCAAATGGTGAACCCAGAAAACACCACATTAACTGGTTATATACTTTTAAATATGTTTATTTTTCACCTGGAGGTTTGATGTGTCCGGTCCTGTGTTCTTCTGGTTCTGCTCTCTCGGTCCTCTCCTCTCTGCAGTGTTTGGGAGCGCTCCTCTCCTGCATCGCTCCCCTCTCCTCCCTGCAGTGTTTGGGAGCGCTCCTCTCCTGCATCGCTCCTCTCTCCTCCCTGCAGTGTTTGGGAGTGCTCTTCTCCTGCATCGCTCCTCTCTCCTCCCTGCAGTGTTTGGGAGCGCTCTTCTCCTGCATCGCTCCTCTCTCCTCCCTGCAGTGTTTGGGAGCGCTCCTCTCCTGCATCGCTCCTCTCTCCTCCCTGCAGTGTTTGGGAGCGCTCCTCTCCTGCATCGCTCCTCTCTCCTCCTGCCGACACTGTGCCAAGGACGCCCGCATAGCAGCTGCCACCTCCCTGTCCTCTTCCTCTCTGCGTGGACAAGCACCCATTCACATACACACTAATGCAACAAGACACCGATACGTTACGAAAGTGACCGAAAACAGATTGGAATTCGACTGTAACAGCTACTAAAACATAATATGGTTTGAACAGTAACACTTTAAAGCACTGGTGAGGCCTTCAGAGACTGTGTGCTACATTTCAATACTGAAATTACACAGAAAGGAATGTCAGACACCCACACACACACGCACACAAATAGCAAGATAGCATCCACATCTTTGTCCGTCCTACAGAGTTTCTGGATGCTGTCGGTGCTTACTTGTGATACAAAGTCATAAACCTCCATCCGATCAATGCAGCATTGCTAATTTAGACTCACCTGGAATACCTCCAGCTCTTCTGTCCCCCCTGAGGCCTTCCTCTTCCTCCTCCTCCTCCTCGTGTCTGACGCATCTCCTCGTAGTCCTCGCTTGTCATGACACCTGAGGACAAGCACGTATTTCACATTCACTGCCTTCAAACTAGTTACGTTACCTTCTAAACATAGAGATGAGGCCAGTGTCAAACACAGAGCAATAACAAGTTCACCGACCTTCATTTCTCCTGGTCTGTCTGGAGGTGTAGTTAAACTGCACGTCGATGTGGCGGTTCTGTCGGGCCTCTGCTCGGTTCTTGCTGTGTGCTGCAGCTTTGTGGGCCTTGTAGTCGATCTCAGAGCGGAATGCATGGGTGAACTGTTCTGTGGCACAGCGGCCCTCCTCACACAGATAGTGACTCTCTCTGAAGTGCTCGCTCAGGTACGGGTAATCACTGTTGACAGCAGGGGTTAAAAACACAATTCAAACAACTGCCTCAAACTACAGCGACACCACACTCCAAACAGGGTTTCTCTGTGTGTGAGAAACAGCTGCAACACACCTGTAATATTCCTGTGAACCATCTGCGTCACAGAAATGGCAGAAGTAGTGGTCCCTGCGCAAGTGCTTAAGCAGCTCATCATTGTCAAGGTAGCGGTCATCGCAGAACTTGCAGAGCGGGTGTCCTCTGTGACTGGTGTCGTCTGGATCTCCATGTGCTCGGTGACGAGCCAGTTCCTTACGGTTGTACCATTTACGCTCATGGGAGAAGATCTGGTGGCAGAAGTGAAGTTTAAGGAACAAGTTAAGACATAACATGACATCAAAATGTTCAGATATTATGTATTTATGAGCCAGTGCTCCAGTGGGTGTAGGCAAACAGCTCAATTTATACTAAATGAGTTAACACCAATCTGACTTAAACTGCTGCCATGTGGGACCCCTCGTTTTAGCATGGTTATAAGGTTCCATTTAAATCCACAGTTTGTTCTCTGCCCTCCAGATATCTCTTAATCCAGTGTAGAGTTGAATTGCACCTACTTAGTGCATCGATTCTGATCAGCGATAAAAGTTTAGCCCCTGCATCAGCTGGTTGGAGGTGAGTTTACCTTGAGATGCTTTGTGCAGAGCTTGCAACAGAAGAGCTCGTGCTGCTTCCTCATGTGATACTCTAGCTCCTCATACTTGGAGAAGACCTTTGGTTCTGAACAGCAGAGGCACTCTGGCAACAGCAGATGCCTGATACAACACACACACACACACACACACACACACACACACACACACACACACACAGCAAGAGAGAGAGAGAATTCCATTAGTGTCAAGTTAAAGCAAAACAAGCTACTACATGCTGAGATGACAAGAAGTGCTTTTCTGTGGTGCGAAAAAAGCAACTTTCTGCCATTGAAAAGAAATCCTGCACTGAAAAAGGAAACATCGTCACATTAGAATTAGAAAAAAGTTGTATTGCCACTGAAAAATAAAACACAGGCAATCCAATACTTCCGATAAATAATCATTTTGACTGTACATTTAAAATGTTATTGTGGGTTTTTAATTGACATTCTTCTGTGTTTGTTCAGTGACTGGATGTTCTTTTATTTATTTATTTTTTTTATTTACACTGAGTTTCGATTCAGTGAAAGTGGTTTTCAGTTTCAAGTCTCCCCGAGCAGAGAGTAGCATTTAACTGGTGGAGTCTCCACTGATCGTAGTCGCCTGCACCGTCAACTTGGTTACAGATTTTAAAATATTAAAAGTCTAACAATAACACAATCATAACGAATGGAGAACAGAGCAGAGCAGTACCTGTACTGGGCGTAGATCTTCTCGTTACAGAAATAGATATCGTACTTCTTCTCACAGGGGAACTGCTGGTAGGGCAGAGACGAGAAGGCCTCCAGGTTCTTCACAAACACCACCTGAGTACAACATGAAAGTCAGAATGTAAGAACAACTATTTCAACACACACTCCTTGAGGAAAGTGAAGGGATATTGAGGCTGTATTGCACTGTTGGAAAAAACGACATCGATACCGAGGCAGGTTTTACTTTAATAGTACTTTGTAAGTACAGAGTTAGGTACCTAAAATGTACTCATGTCACAAAGACCTTATGTAATGCATCCTATGGAAGTATGGGAAGCAGTCAATGTATGACCAGTAGAGCAAGTTGTGTGT